GAAACAGTATTTTTTATAACTTCTGTTAATCTATATTTCATTCAGGGTCACAAGGTCTAAATCAGAATATTGCAGCATAGTTAAATGTAATTGAAAGGTTATTGATCATCCAAGAAAGAATTACAGGGTAGTAATTAAAAAAATCATGAAAATACTTAGTACAAAATTATTTTTTGAGGTTTGCAAACCAGATGGAAAAAAATTTTCCTTTATTTTTTCATTAGCACTAAGGGCACACTAATTTTACAGTGAAACACTGGTAACACATGTAGAAATAAGTATTGATTTTGAATATGTATGTGATTTTACAGCATTGCTGGCTCTTAACAAATAGGATACATCTCCCTAGGAGATGCAGGATTAGAAGTATTTATATGTACATAAATATGTATTTATATGTATTTACTTTTTAAAAGCAAAAGAAGAGAAACAAAAGTTACTAGCCTCTTTCTGCTTAATTTTATAGGACCTAATATAGTAAGAGCATGCTTTTGAAGTAATTTTATGACAATAACTTTGATAACAACATATTCCAAAATCATTTGGCTGAAGAACTCACTTAGCTCACTACCCTACACTGATAATAGACTATAGAGAGAAACATAGCTATAAATTCAAAAAGGCACTTCTTCATGATCATGACTTTCACACAAATGTGTCAAAATTAGAAGCTGCAACCATACCTTCCTTGAATTGGTCACTTTGTTCTTTAATTTTAAGGAACGAAGAGCAAGGTGAAAAGTTGAATAGTAGTCAGCAAACACCTGCATTACTCAAGCAATCGTGCCTTAGCATAGCATCGATCAGATAAAAGCTGAGTACAATCCCTCATATAAACTACTAGTATGGGCAAAACAGAACTGGAAAGGTTTTTTGGACATAAATAAATCCTCTTTTTTTCTTCATATGCAAAGGTTGAATTGTGTCTTCACATTATTCCATATTTAGACTACAGGAGAGCTCTTTCCATGCACCTGTACTCTTACTCATAGTATGAGGGACATGAAACTCCATAGTCCTACATGCAGTGTGTTATTGGTTCCTCCCTAATGTCGTTCAGTACAAATGAATACTTGTAGAGCAAGACAAATCACTGCAGTTGACTGAGCCATGAGAAACCAATTCCATCAATAATGGGAATATTCTGATAACCTTTCTGCTTCACATAGTTTTAAATGGGACTGTTTTCCATAGTTTGTCATGTTTCCCTCTGTATCCAAGCTGACAGTTTACTAGATTTTTTTTTTTTACTTGTCACTATAGACATTTTCAAGTATCACATTCTTCAAAGAAATCCAACAATATTTTTATGAAACAGCTTTCATCACTGATTTAGTTCTGTAATTAAAAAATATCATTAAAATTGAAGCAAAAAATATTGAGGGAAAGGGAAAATTATTAATTAAAAAAATGGATTTGAGAAAGCATATTTCTAACAAAATCTTTCTTGCATGAAAACTAATGCTTTTTTTCTTTTTTCCCTCCCATTATTGTGGTAAAGTTATTTATTTTACTCTTTGTATATAATAAATGATAAATTCTATTAAATGTAAAATAAAAAGATGATGACAGAATTATCCAAATACCCTTCTGAGTTAGAAGAAGATATTACTATGTGAATTAAAATACAATTATTGTTTCCTTCATCAAGGTTAAGCACTTTCTTCTGATTTTTAAGTGTTTTTCTTGAAGAAAAATAACCATGCTGTAGGGTTTTCTGTTAATTGCGTAATCAAATGTTTATTGGCATAACAGTTTTCTCATGTTGAAATTTTTAATTTAACAGCTTACATAATTGCAGTCTGTCCTATGCAAACAAATCACTGTCTTATCTCCATCTGTGACTTGTAAGTTATATTTCTGGTATTGTGGATTGGTGGTTTTTTTTTCCTCCATTCCTTGAAATACATAAAATTTGGGGTCTTTTTTTATTTTATTTTTTTTATTTTTTATTTTTTATTTTCAGTTTATTCTTTTTTTTTGCTTCTTCTTGTTTTGTTTTTCTTTTGCTGGTACCCTAATACACTCAATTTCCTTTCTATACTGTTCATATTCTCACTCTTTTCATATGTCCCATATTCTCTGCTCCTTTCATTCTCTCTGAGTCTGTGATTATTTCAAATAGAACTTGTTACTTTATTGTGCTTTAAAATGGATAGATCTTGTGCTTGTTTCCACCTTGCTTAAAAGAAATGAAAATCTATTAGCACCAGTCATACTAATCTACAAAGAAATGGCCAGACAGAAAGTAGCTGTGTTTATAGCAAGTAGTGACATTATATTTTCATCTAAATTCTTTGAAGTTGGCTATTATGTGGTGCCTTGGAAGTGTACTTTAATTTGATTAGAATAGAAAAAAAAAACCTAATTGCAACAGGAACTGTTTTGTTTGTTTGTTTGTTTTAAATTTTTTTTTATTTTTTTTATTTTTTTTTCATACTCAAGCCAGTAAGAAGGAAGAGATGATGCCTTTTAAACATCATTCACTTGACATCCTAAACTTTGCTGCTACAGCCACTACCTGATCTCCAATGTAAAGCAGACCCAAGGGTCAAGCTGGTTAAGTATGAGTGTCATGGGAGGAAACGAGGGCTAAGAGAACAGTCCAGAAGAGTCCCAGTACAGAGAGAGAGAATCCAGTGAGAAGTGAGCATCACAGAATATCCTGAGCTGAAAGGGACCCACAAGGATAATTGAGTCCAACTCTGGGTTCCATACAGGACTACCCCAAAATTAAAGCACGTATCTGACAGCAATATCCAAGTACTCCTTGAACTCCAGCAGCTTGGGGCTGTGCCCACTGCCCTGGGCAGCCTATTCCATGCTCACTGCCCTCTGTTAAGAATCTTTCCCTAACCCCCACCCGCCCCTTCCCTGATGCAGCTCCATGCCGTTCCGTCAGCCCTGTCGCTGTCACACAGAGCAGAGCTCAGCGCTGCCCTCCGCTTCCTGTGAGGAGCTGCAGCCGCCATCAGGCCTCCCCTCAGCTCCTCTGCTCTGGGCTGAGCAAACCAAGGCACATCAGCCTCTAATCACACATCTTGCCCCCTAGATCCTTCCCCATCTTTGTAGCCCAAACCTGTACTCAGTGCTTAAGGTGAGGTTGCACAGCAAAGAACAGAGCAGGACAATCCTTTCCCTTGCCCAGCTGGCAGTGCAGGGCCTGATGCACCCCAGGGCACAGTTGACTATTTTGGTTGCCACAACACACTGCTGACTCAGATTCAACTCACTGAGCTGCTCCTTCTTTACTCAGGGAGTAGTGAGGTGGCACAGGCTGCCCAGAGAAGTTGTGCATGCCCCATCCTTGGAGGCATTCAAGACCAGGTTGGATGGGTTCCTGGGCAGAAACCCCGAGCTGGTGGGTGACAGGGGGGTATGAACTGGATGATCTTTAAGGTTTCTTCCAATCCAAGCCATTTTGTGATTCTATGAGTCTGTGATTCTGTGATTAAAGGAAAATGCTAAGCTCTACTGAAATCTTGTCATACGCTTCCCAAGATGGAAGCCAGTCCTAGCTCTGAAGGTGAGTAAAAATTTAGTAGACCAGCTCACCAGACTGGAATTTGTACACTGAATAGGATAGAGAAAATGGCTAACTAAATACTCATGATCTCCTTTTTCTTTTTTCTTTTTTCTTTTTTTCTTTCCCTTCTGCTTAATTCATGACATAGTAAAAGAAATTGGGAGACACAAATTTTTCATCTGCCATGTTCACCCTCCTTTAGAGTGTCTTTAGAGTGCCTGCATTCTGAAACCTGGGAAGACTCAGGAACTGCAGAACAATTGTTGTATTAATTAATGCTAAAGAAAAACAAAACAAACAAACAAAAAAAAAGAAGCTGAGATATAGCTGTCTGTACATAGATATAAATAGTGCTCAGCACTTAACCGAAGTTTATATTGTCTGGTGTAAAAATCCAATAAACCTCCTTCTTTTAAGTCAAGTTATTTACAGTGTTTTTTTCTCCCTTAGGGGATACATTTACAAACTCCATGCCAATAATTCTGGGCAGGAAACATTGTGATTACATCTGAAAATAGTGTTCAGCAACAAATGAATTAGCTGTTCTCTTTGCTGGCAGATAACTCTGTATTGTTTCCATAGCTATTGTTTTAGTAAAAAAGTATTTTTTTAAGAGTTTATCAGGGATTAGGTGAACACTATGTCAATGAGACACAGAATAACCTTGGCTTAAAGTTATATCTGGGGATCATTTGGTTCAACTAACATCCCAAAGCCAGTCCATTTTCAAAGTTAGATCCACAGATATGATGAACATTCATCAGTCCAAATATCAGAGCCTGAGGGATTCTGATAATCTTTCAAAGACTTGCAACCTTCATTAGGTCAGATTCAAATTTTAAAATTCTTTTTTACTTGATATCCAGTCAACTTTGTCTAAAGGATTTGAATGGATTGTACATTGCTGTGAAAGTAATGCCTCCTATTTATTTCTTTGGAAACTACAACAGTTATAAAGAATACAATAACAATACTTGATAGAGCAAATTCTCAGCTGTGAAATACTAGTCAACATAGTCAACACCAATAGCTATGCATTTTCATGAGTGATGAACAAAAGCCTGCATACCATGCTTGTAAAAATCTGCACCAGTGAAGGTGACATACTGTATGGATCACAGCTGCTGTGAGTCCAAATCTGGACTATATAGTGAGTCATTCAGTCAAGATTGGCAATGTGCTCCAAGGTCTTGATTTACCTGGATTCCAGGAAATGCAGAGGAATCATTCCTTTCCTATCCTGCAAGATAGTGCATATCACTTTACCTGTTGAGCACTGCATCTTGAATTTTTTCTTTTATGGGGAAGCCTTATGTCAGCACTTGTAAGAGGTGTGAGAGATTATTCTGTTAACTTCTGTGTCTCAAAGCTTGCTGGGGACACAGATGGACTTGTTCAAGTCCAGACAAGTCCCGAGCAAGGATTGTGAAATCCTTTGTCTGGGGGAATGCAGATGGACAACCAGGGGCAACGAGAGCGAGATGAGCTGCAGCTAAATAGCTGTGAAGTGCTCCTTTGTGTGGACCTATCTCCGGATGATGGCCATCTCAGAGGGTACTCAATGACTCTTGCTCAAGGCCCATCCTTGTCACGTAGGCAGGAGAACAAGGAGGATAAAAGAGGAACTGAAAACCATGAGGATAGGTTTTCTGACAACAGATTCCTCATGAAGAAGAACAGAGGTTTCTGACAACAGATTCCTCATGAAGAACGGAGGTTTCTGACAACAGATTCCTCATGAAGAACGGAGGGTTTTCTGACAAGAGATCCCTCATGAAGAAGAACAGAGGGATTCCTGAAGATTGAGGTGATTCCTGCATACTGTCGAACTCTCCTGAGCCTGCTGCCTGACCGCTGTTGCTGCTTCAAGAATTGGCTCCTCGACTTCCTCATCTACCTGCCTGCTGCCCAGTGCCGGCCACGCTGCTGCTCCCCATCTTCTGCTGCGTTCTGCCCGGGACCTTCAAACACCGTGCAACAGGACCGCTGCTGGATCCTGCTGGTGACTATCCCCGCTTTACGCAACTCCTGCTTCTTTTCCATCTTTTCTATCGCACTCCTTCCCTTCCCCATCTTCCTGATTAGGTTTTAGTAATAAACTGGATGCAACAACATATGAACTGTTGTTTCTTAATCTCACACCGGGTGTACAGATATTAAAGAACCTCATCTCCCTCCTATAAATTGGAGTGAGACAAGAGGTTATTCTTTTACATCGTCTCAAAGCTTGCTAGGGACACAGATGAACAAGTCCAAGCAAGTCCTGGGCAAGGGTAGCAAAATCCTTTGTCTGGAGAACACTGATGGTCAAGGCCAGGGGCAATGAGAGAGAGATAAGTTGCAGATTAATGGCCAGGAAGCGGTCTTTTGTGTGGGCTTGTCTTGAAGAAGATGACCATCTCAGTAGGTGCTGCACATGACTCTTACCCAAGCCCAGGAATGGTGTGCTGGCAGAAGAAGAAAGATAAAAAAAACAACTTGCATATGATCTTTCTCTTCCTTTGTGAGCATTCGTGGGACCCATCTGGTGCAAACTTTGTGATATTCCAACATTGTTAACAATGCATGGAATCCAATATTCAGTTCTGTACTCAGTTCCCTGTGTGACAGTTGTGCTGTCAGACATGTAACTTGTATTTCACTTTGACATCACCACTGATGAAACATATCACTCACTGTCTCACTGTGCTCACATCCACTGTTTGGTCTCTGTAAGCATTCAGCAAACATCAGTGAATGTCAATGGGTGCAATTTTTTTTGCACACGGATGATTTTTGAGTTTCACACCTTTACTTTATATGCACTTTCATGTCAGATGCCATTTTGTCAGACTGCCCCTCTGCTGCCATCTGTCACATAGCAACAAAATTTAACGAAATATTGGAGGGAAAGTTCAACCTCTACTGCCATACCACCGACAACCACCACTGATGTTGTGAGCCAACATAATGAAATAGGAGGCATTACATTTGTAGCCCTCAAAAGTGATACTACTATTACAAAATCTAGAAAAACATATGCTTCTGGCTCAGCCTTGCAATGATTTTGAGTTTCCAAGTTTGTGAAATCACTGAAATCACAGAATGGTCTGGGTTGGAAGTGACTGCAAGGACCATGAATCTTCAACCCCCCTGCCACATGCAGGGCCACCAACCTCCACATTTAATACTAGACCAGGCTGCCCAGAGCCCCATCCAATCTGTCCTTGGACACCTCCAGGTACGGGGCATCCACAACCTCTCTGGGCAGCCTGTTCCAGCACCTCATCACTCTCTCTGTAAAGAACTTCCCCCTGACGTCCAACATAAATCTTCCCTCCCTCAACTTAAAACCATGTACCCTTTAAAAGAGTTGAAAGGGTTTGTTTCTGGAACATATTTCTAATTTATATTCATCACAAAGAAAGTCTTGTATCAGCAGTCCAAAACTGAGTAAGAGCATGAAATCCAGAATGATATTGGTTGGAAACCAATATATTGAAACCTTTGGGAAACCTTTATATATTGAATTTGGCTTTGATCATCTTAGCAAGAAAAGCTTAAGGATGAGATAATAATGCCTCTGGTTCCTTTGAGCAAAATGCTTTTTGTTATTCATGTTATTCATACGTGTAATGAGAAATGCACATCTAGGCAGACTGACAATCATTGGAGACTGCATAACATCAGCTTATTGTGTTATCCTTAAATCTGTTTCCAGGGGACAAAGCAGGGTAACAAAGCTAGTGAGTGAGTGGCTGAGGGAAGTCGGATTGTTTAGTCCAGAGAAAAGGAAGTTCTGGGGAAAACTTACTGCTCACAACCACTCCCTGAAAGGAGGTTGTTGTGGAGTTTGGCCTCTTTTCCTGTATAACAGCAATAGGACAAGAGGAAATGGACTGAAGTTGTGCTAGAGGAATTTCAAGTTAGATGTTGGAAATGACTTCTCCAAAAAGAGTAGTCAGGCCCTGGAATGTGCTGCCCAGGGAAGTGGTGGAATCACCATCCCTGCAATTGTTTAAGGAAATGGTAGCGATGTGTGTAGGGACGTGGTTAGTGGGACAGTATTGGAGGTAACTTAGAAGTCTTCTCCAACCTTAATGATTCTGTTATTCTATGGGTGGTGCAGTTGACATGCTAGAGAAGAGTGGCATCCAAAGGGATCTTCACAGGTTTGAGGAGTCTTCCACAGCAGTGGTCTGTCTTCAAAAGCACTTAAATACAGGACGTATGTGAAACAAAGACGTAGACAGCTGACTTCCCTTCCTTTTCTCCAATTGGTAGAGGTAGAAATTCACTAGAATTTCACACAGAACTCTGTAAGGTGATCAAACATTCAAAAAGGCTTCCTAGAGAGATGACTGATACTTCACGCCTGCCATTTGGATAACATCCTCAATAAAATGCTTTAACTTTTGGTTTGTCTTGAATTAGTCGGGCAGTTGTATTAGATGATTTTTGTAGATCCATCCCAACTATTCCATTGCATTCCATTGCATTCTATTGCATTCCATTGCATTCTATTGCATTCCATTGCATTCCATTGCATTCTATTGCACTGCATTGCATTCTATATTCTTCTATCAGGTTTACCAGAAAAACAACATACCTTGTGTTAGGTTTACTTGAAAAGGTTTTGGTTGAGGTGAAACTGCTAAGGGGCACCTCTAACCCAGCAGCTTTCCCAGGTTGGGTAAGAGCCAGCTCCATCCATCTCTAAAAGAACCCACAGACAAGACCAGAACTGAGCCATTAGCAGTGTTGGTTGTGTGTAAGAAATGGGGGGAAAAAAAAATCCCTGCTAAACAGCACTTGGGAAAGAGGAGAGAAAATGTGAAGAGAAACAATCACGCAACCACCAAGGTCAGTGCAGAAGGAGGGCAGGAGGTGCTCCAGGCACACAGCAGAATTTGCCTGCAGTCTATGGAGAAGACCACAGCTGTGAAACCACAGTCCATTTAAAGTCTTTGTCACCAGTGCTGTCACCTCAGCTGGCAGTGTGATTTTAAAGGCTGTCATCTCTAGCTGTTGGATACTAGCTACATAATTCAAATAAACCAAATGGTTATGTGTATGATTTTAACTCATGTTGAAATCTAATAAAAGAAGTTAAAATAGCAACCACCACTGAATCTTAGATCATTTTATTTTGTTTTGGGGTAAATGGAAAGCACTGCAGATGGTACAGTTGAATAAATTCAGGCTCTTTTCCTCAGCCTTTCTGCATTTGTGGATATCAAGAACACTGAAGACATCTACAATTTTAATAAATATATTTTTTTTTTGTTTTACATTTACAAATACAAGTCCTGTTTAAGTTACCATGTGAAATTCATGCTTAGTTCCTTTATATCTTAATTACTCATACATATGCTGCACATACAAAAACACACAGAATAAAATGAAATGAGTTAGAAAGGTGGGGAAATTACCTGAAGCATATAAAGTTAGTTCTTTTTTGTTTATTGTTTTTGTGATTAAATAACAAAAAAACAGTAACTAATTCCCTCCACTTTAGGATACCTTACTCACAGGACTAATCATCTTGATTTTTACAGTGTCACAGAATGAATGGGGAAGATGCAGGAGAAGGCACTTCTGTAAGATTGGGCCCTCAAGTAACCCTGGTGATTGCTTTCTCCTTTAGAAGAAAACTTTTGTGAAAATAAATTGCTCAATCTACAATTTGTCCCTATACTGTTCCACTGTTTACGGATCATTTACAACACTCTTGTGATCACCTTGCTAAAAATACTTTGAAATATCAAAATTGACATTATTTGTGTAATGAGGTTTGGGGTTTAATAGCTCCATTCACACTTGAGGAATTGCAGGCTTTTCTGATAGGCATCTATTAAGCAAGATGATTTGCAACCTCTGCTTGAGGGGAGAAATACTCTTGTGTTCCTGCTCTGGCCCTAGATTAAATAGAGTTTATATCTGAGCAGGAGCTTTTTTGTCAAAGAAAAGAAGCACATGTTTGCTGCAATACTTTTATTAGCATGACAGCCAAGTGGGAAATAACCCATGTCACTGTCAATGAAACGAAGGGAGTTGAGAGAGATTTTTCAAGAACATGGCAGCCTAACTCTCCAAAGATTGCACTTAGGTTCAATTTCCAATTTTATTCAAGTTCTTAAAGGTGTGGAGAAGTGCCTAGGAAAATTTTCTGAAATCACATTCTTTTCTGTCTTCTTAGTAATTATGAAATTCAAGGCAAGTTGTACCACCATTAGCACAAATTGGGACTTCAAGAAAACAATCCCTTTCTAGTACAGCAAGCTATTGACGTGGCTTTATTATAAAGCTCTTCAGCTAGGTCTATGCTAGTTAATTAAATAGCTTCAAGGAACATTTATGGGTTGTGAAACTTCATTCTGTCTTCAGTGAAACTGTGATGAACCTTGGAATTTTTAATTTTTTATTTTTTTTTTTTTAAATCTGAGCCAGCCTGTATGTTTTAGGTCTTACTCCAAGCTTGGAACCATTTCCAGTTATACTGTTTGGATATGTCCGCTCAGATATTTGAGGCTGAATGAATTTAATAGCACAAACAAGTGTTCTGTTCAACTCAGGTTTAGTAGCAGTTATATTCCTTCAATCCAGAA